AGTTTTCAAGGTGGTAGGAATGGTCATGCTTCCAGGTTTATTTCCTCAGTCAGGAAGGATAGAAACCTATCTCTGTATAAAATCAAAATGGAAATAACCTGTCTCCAGGTGATTTGGCTTCTAGAAAGGTATGAGGCACTATGATACTTGCACTAAAAATGAGAGAGATAAGGAGGGAAATCTTTGTGGACCTCAGGCCCTGCTTGCAGCAATCTGGAATGCTGGAAGGAAGGTYGGTTCCTTTGTGTTTCCAGGTGCAGATGGGGAAGGTTGCACTCTGTTAAATAATGCAAAGTACCTTTGCCAGCATGGACTTGGATTTTGGCACAGTCTCTTGTCATTGCTGCTTTACTGRCTGTTTTGACAATKCTTCAGRGCTGGAAATGCTGTTTTCTCCCATCGTTCTGCTCTTTTACATGTTCATGTGCAATTCTATAGTGGTGAATCTCTACCCTGCTCAGTGATCAGCTCTGATTTTCAAGGAAGTTCTGGCCCTTCTGGATGTCCCAGGAAAATACTTTAGTTGAGAATAAAACATTCACAGGGATGAGAAGACYTCTCTCACAGTTTAGCATCATCTCTGCACATCTTGGGCCRTGCTYGCAGCRATGTCCCAGRTGGGAAATGCACCTGATGGATTTGYRCCACTGCATCACCCMCACCTTCTCCAGATACACCCTCTTTGGGCAGAAACAACTGTTTCAGAAATCCAGAAATCCAGCCAGCCCTGCAGCCTGCAGCAARAGATTTCCCTGCAGATACATGGGCACAGATGTATTTGCATGAATTTAGACACCAATATATGCAATTATGGCTGCAGGAACGTGGTGTTTGGTCACTGAGTTCCACTTGTGCCCGTGCTGTCATCCCTTTATGGTTACTGGCACTTGATTGGATGGRTATTTTCTCTCCATGATACAGTTTTAGTGATTCTGAAAGATCAGCCTTTGCTTTTCATGAGCAACATAGGATTCGAGCGCATCATGAGGGAAAGCCAGCATCATTTATCATGTCTGGCTTTTGCTGGTGTGACTGATGAGGCTTTGGAGATATTTTAAAATGGTTAAAGGGTCTATTAGCTAAGACTGTGCAGAAAAACACCTCCTTAAGAAGTTTTGGTGCCCTTTATGTGTTTGTACCCAGTGCTATTTCCCACCAAGTATTTATCCTTTAACTGCCTGCCTAAACTTTATTCCAAAGGATCCATCAAGCTTTAATGTCTGCTAGGATATTTATTAGCTCAGTTTCTGTCCCCATCTGAAGAAGGATAATTTTTTTCTTTACATAAATACACATGTGGGCTCTGAGATGCTGTTTAAAAGGAAAGTTTCCGAGTTCAAGTTCTTTCTCATTCCATCTGCAAGCTCCTGGGGGGGGGGGTTCCATAAAGCCCTCAAGAATTTTTTCTGCCTGAAAGGTCCAGGCATGAACTGCTGTCTGACAAATTGGCAGGTCATTCCATGGTGYAAGGCTGCAGACAACATCTGTCCCCCCAAATCTGTCTGGGAGGGTTATCAGAATACAGAAGAGAGAATAGTGCATAGAAATATCCCAACCTATCAAACAGCTGCATGCCATACAGTTGCCCCTAACTATATTTATGTGAATATGTGTGAATATATGTGTATATTTTATGTACAGGCATGCGTACACACACAGTACACTGTATTTGGAATGATGGCAGTGTAGCTATTTCAGCAGAAATTATGCCTGCCACCAGCATCCTTCACATGTCCTTTTGTTCTCCATGCTCATTTCAGTTGCGAAATCTGAATTTTTGTGATTTTAGTGGTCTTTTCCAACCCAGTGATTCCATAATTCCATAGATGTGGAATTTAGATGTTTTAGTGTGGGTTTGGCACTGATGGGTTAATGCATGGACTTGATAACATTAGAAGTCTTTTCCAAACCAAAGATTTTATGAATCTGTGATGTGTAAAATGTATGCAAGTAGTTCCCACTCCAATTTACAGCATTCCTTTTTTCAGTAATGCTTCAGGCGCTGTGAGAGCAGGAGCAGGAGGATTTTCTAGATSTTCACCTCCATTCAGGAGGAGCATTAGTGCTACTCAGGACTCAGGACAGAGCAGATTTGGGAGGTAACATCCCAAGCTGTCAGTAAATCATTAGAGAGAAGCTTTGGAAGTTATGCAGGCTGCATCAGCACCTCTGCATTCCCAGCCCAGCCCCAGCAGCGCTTTCCCTGGAGCTCTGAACATCCCCTGCAAGTGAAAATTACTTGTATTTTCTGAGCAGCTGATGTAGCAGACCTACCTAGTTAAATTTTCTGTTTTGCAACTCTGAAAATTTCATTTTTATTTAGTTGCAATATGTTAAATCAACCTCAGAATCACAGAATGGGTTGGGACACCTTCCACCAGACCAGGTTTCTCAAAACCCCATCCAGCCTGGCCCTGAACATTCCAGGGATGGGRYATCCACAGCTTTTCTGAGCATCCTATTCAGTGCCTCACCACCCACTGAATAAAGAATTTTTTCCTAACATMTGATCTTGTCCTGAGTGAATAATTACCTCTCTCTGCACAGTGAACTACAGTTAATAGGGATAAAGTATAGTACATTCATCTCTGTATTTATGAAAAAAGACASGTTGTTTTGGAGAATCTGGTAGGTTTTGTTTTCATTCTGTGCATTCCTTAGCACATTTAGAAACAGCAAATAAGCTCAGAAGTGCRTGTGGGAAATGTCAAATTTGAGAACTCTTAAAGGCTTCCAAGATTCTATACTTTCTGAAGAGTATAAATCACAATTTAAGAGGAGTTTGGAGTTTTATCCTTCAGACCAGTGAGTGATGGTTCATGAAAGATCAGTTCATTGTGCCCCAGTCTTTGAGGGAGCCTGTGCAGTTCCCTGCCACACTGAAGACAGGGAGAAGATCTCCTCAGGTTTATGAATTTTGGCTTAATTTATCCATGGTTTTTGTACAGATTCTGTAACACACYGTTATTCAGAGTTTCGGGGTGAGCATCTACTGCTTTCAACCCCTTGATTAAATTTGCAAAGAGAACAAGTGSTTTGCTGACATTTTGGCGGTGAAACCACTGTCTTTTAACTGCACTGAAAGCAGGACTCAGCTCTGCCCTGTGTCCACCTCAGAGAGCAAATCCATTAAGCAATTTTGTGCCTTTCAGAAATGGTCTGTTTTCTATAAATTATGTAACTGTTCTGAGTGAGTCTGTAAACTGGGTTTTGAACTCTAAGTAGAGACAAGGACAATTAACTGCAAAAGGTAATTTCAAAACRGCACATTGCATAAATTATATTGTTACTAGAAAATGCTCTGTATTAAGGGAAACATTTTAAAGCACCTTGTTTTATGAATTATACCAGCTGTGTTATGTTGTGTAGTTAATTTTAATTACATAAAARTATGTAGAATTAAAAGCAGTTCAACGAGATGCAGTTATAGTCTTTCTAAGGGATGATTCTGTTATGGAGATATTTGTTAGGAAATAAAAACAGAGAAGGGAAGATAAGGACTTGCACATTTTATTTTATTTCACTCTGCCTGAGAAATGTTAGATTTTTTTTACTGGATACAATTCCTAAAGCAGAAATGGAAACAGAGAAATAGAGAAATAGACCTTCTGACCCCCAAAAGTAATGAGGYTGGATAAATTACTCTGCTGGACTGTGTTCCCAAAATAGAGTTGAAATGGAAATGTTGAAAGTTCTTAAAAGAGGAAATATGAAAATGTATTACCTTTTTTATGCCAAAACTATAACATCCCTAACCTTCACCGAGGGGCTGCTTAGGTACCTGAAATCAATATCCACTGACTGATTTTAGTTCCSTTTTAATAACTGCTAAAATAAAGAGCTGGGGTATCTCTGAGGGTCTGAAACAAAAGATACCCTTTGTACCACGATTTCTGCTTCAGGATTTGAGGTGTGAGCCGCAAACCAAACCCCGTGGCCCTTGCCCAGCCCATGGCCAGGCAGCAAGAGGCAGATTTTCAATGTTTCAATGTGCTTTTAGTCACTGCCCCTGCTCAGAACAAGAGGGTCCAAACCTGAAAGTGCATCTCCAGTGTGCTTGGGTCAGAAGTGTGGTTTGGAGTCTGGGGTTCTCATCCTCTTGTCCTGCTTTGGTGTGTGGATGTGGGGAGGTGTGGTTTCCTTGCAGAGGAAATGAAATTGAGAAAATGGAATAGGAAAAGGAACATGTCAGAGTACTTCCAGCCCCTGGAGCTTTTCTGCCCATGGGACTGGGCTGCAGCTAGTCCCAAGTCCTCAGTCAGATGTTCTACACTGCCTGCCAGTGCAGAAGTAGCCTTCAGGTGTAATTTTCCCCTCTGGATGAAGGCATTTATACGTAAATATTTTATATTTAGGTGTCTAAGGTGTCAAGCCCTCTCTTACTCAGCAAACATTGAAATACAGACTTAAGGCTAAGCCTCTRCTTAAATGGATGAATTTGGGTTTAGATCTGGATGTACTTCTGGATGTGTTTAAGATTTAGAGGTGGTTATTTAAAGATCAAAAGTCTCAGTGAGGTTTTGGGTGKGTTGCCACTGACACCAAATTAAAAATGTTAAAGAATCCTTTAAAATGCTGTCCTTGGACCTTGGAAGAGCCATGTAGAGCCATGAGGGTGAAGGAACCCAGATGTCAGAGGGTTTCTGCAAGAGCAGGACTCCTAAATCACTTGGGAGCAGACACCTGAAATATTCAATCACCTGAACATTAGCTAAGTGCTCATTATATTCTTTAGCCTTTGAAAAATCCATTACTCGTATCTTCAGCTTCAGGGAGACCTTTACAATCTGGCTCTCATGCTTGGTGACACTTCACAGAGCAATCTATAAATACCTTAAAAACCTGGGGCTACTGCTAAGGATGCTCAAGTACCTCAGCTACTTTTAAAACTTTCACCYTCGTTAATTTTTGCAGCTGGGAGCTTATTATTTTGGGGTAATTGGAAGCATAGGACAGGTCATGAAAATACCTTTTAACAAACCCATCCTGCTGTTTTCCAGGTAAAGGTGACGTGTTTGGTGACATCTTCTGGAAGGAGACCAGCCTGGCCCACGCGTGYGCCAACGTCCGGGCGCTGACCTACTGCGATTTGCATATAATTAAACGGGARGCTTTGCTCAAAGTGCTGGATTTCTACACAGCGTTCGCCAACTCCTTCTCCAGGAACCTGACACTCACCTGCAACCTGAGGAAGAGGGTAAGACAGCAGCATTCCCTTTTCTAGCACCAGGAAAACGCACTCCCCTGCAGGGGTTTGTGGTGTTTAACAATGCTGYGTTGGCTCCTGGTGTTTTCAGGACTGAGCTGCCTTCCCATAAACGCTGTGGCTGTTTGTAATGATGGCTCAGTAAAAGTTACCTGTAGATTTGCAGCTCTGGAGAGCAGCCCTAGCAGGATGACCTATGAATTGTGTTTATTTTCCTTTTCTTCGTGGTTGCTGGTTTTTGTTTGGTTGGTTTTTTTAGCCCCCGTTGCATAAATTTATGAAGTTATATTTTATAGAATCCAGATTCTGGATTCCTCAAATTCCTCTAGATTCCACTCTAAGATACAGTGCAGAGGACAGGTCTKATGGATCTCCATGGCACAGACCAACTAAGAGAAATTTATTGATGTTAAATAAATAAAACACACTCATCAAAGGTACTGTATTAATACCTGCTTCTCTCAGCTGCATAGTCTAGAATTTTAATATGGCAAGGTTAATAAAGCTTGGGAGTGATTTTACATTCACAGCTCACTTCTTAAACCCTCCTGCTCATTTTATAATCAATCAGCAATGCTCACTATCCATTAGTTCTTTCAAAGAACACTCCATCTTAAAATTAATTAGCTATAAAGACGTATCTTGAAAACAGGTTAAGGGATCCTTTAATTCGCATTGCGGCTGCAAAATTTCATCTTTATGGATTTTTTTTTTACGATGGATGAGGGTTATATAAATTTCATTTGCATAGAGAAATCTCATAACAATGATTTATAGATTACTGAGCATTAACTGTGATCCTCTGGCTGCTGAAACACGTTTTCCTGCAGCTGCACCTTGGGCATCTCACCTGATAATGTACCAAGGCTACCTCAGATCTCACAAGACAATTTTGGCCTCTGCAGTAGCAGGGGTTCAACATAACTTTGAATTTTACTTTTGTAAGTCTAGTTTCTCTCCAGCCACTGGAGCATCATATGCTGCTTTCTGAGGAGGTTTCATTTTTTTCAGTGAATCCCTCATGTTAATACCCCAAGTATGGCACAAAATTCCCCTGGCAAGAAGCAGATGCAATGGGATTCCAGTGCCCCTCTGTCTGTCTGTGCTGGAGCCTGAAGGAGCTGAGTTATAATCAGGTTTGGTTCCAGTTTGTCAGCTTACCTCTGCCTGGGAGGTTTTTAGCTCCTCTTCAGACCTGAAGGAGGGCTTTGGGGCTTGAAAGGCTGGTTTGGGGCTTCTGGCTTATCACTTCTCTGTTGATAAGAAATGCTCCAAGCCTTGAGTTCAGCATCCTCAGCTCACCAGCTACAGCCCTGYGATGACAGCTCTGCTCAGGCATCGCTGATGGTGATTTCATGGGACAAGATAATGCCACATACATTGTACCAAAATGTATTCTTTCCTTCTTAAAACCGTGAACCTGTCACTACAGCTGGCTCCCTGGGAAAAACACTGATGTTTCTGTTCCTGACAGGGCAGTGTGCTGGAGTTCAGCACTCTAGGCTGGGGATGCATATGGGGAGTGGCCTCCTGGCTGAGTTGTTGTTGATTTTCTTCTCTCTCACACCCTTTTTTTTAAAGGAAGATTGGTTTCCCTGCAGGGCCCTGGCATAGGGAATCACTCAGGTGGAAAAATTCATGGAACTCAAGTTCCCAGTAGAGCCCTTTAGCTCAGTGTCAGGTACACAGACTTTGACATGGGGGCAGTGACTCCAAGTGAGAAGGGAATAACATTCCTAAAGAAATGTTAGATTTTGCAGAAGGAAAGGAAATGCTGGTTGGGGGAAAGTGTGGGCAGCACRAGAGAGTGGATGAAGAGCCAAGGGAAGGTCATGTTAGTGTAGGACATGCAGAGTGGAGTTCATTTCATTAAAAGCTGGGTGATGATGTCCAAAGTAGCGACCTTGATAGCCTGTGAGGAGTGGTTCCTATCGCAGAAAATCATCTGGCCCCCTTCAGCACCTGGTCTGGGATAGGCAAACCATCCCCTTCTGATTTTCACAGAGTCCATGATCACTAATTTATAAATACCTCAGGTTCATCAGATGAGCTGCACTGATCCCCTGCAGTTTGAGTCAATAACTATTTTGGAAGCAGCCTGGCGTTGCACTCAGATGTGCTGAGCTAGAGCCTGCTCTGCAGAAATTCTGTGTTTTGTTCCTGGGCGCAAAACAGATCATGCTACATTCAACACCGGGGACACAACCTAAGTCCTGTTACATAAAGTTATTCAGGGGATTGTTTCAGCCCTCCTGTCTGCTGGAAAGAGACGTGATTCCCTGTTGGGGAAGCGTTGGGTGGTGAGTTCATCCCCGAGGAAAATCGGTGCCATCCAGGGCAGSTCCATCAGGTGAGCAGAGATTGTTCAGGCAGTGACAGCTGCACTGTGCTGTAGCAGCTTGTGCTGGCATCATGAAGTCTAAATGGAAGGAAAATCATTGTCTCCTTTAATTGATTTCAATAGAAATATATACTTAGCGCTTTTTCTACACAGTCATCACTCACAAGGTTTGACATTTCATTATAAATACGCTCCTTGGGGTTTTGTGCACAAGGGGATGCCTGCTCTCACTGTCAGAAATGTGCAGGCAGAAGTGTTCTTGCACCAGGTCTGCTCTTTGAAACACACATCCATGGATTTGGATGCACACACAATGTGTTTGTGCTGCCCTGTGCCTCGGCCATCACTTTGTTGTGGTCCACAGACTGCAAAACATTTAGCTTTTCAAAAGGCTAATAAATTAATAATAGTACCGAGCACAAAAGGTTATTTCCATGTGACAGGGAAGCGAAAGTCTTGTTGAAGTGGGAAAATAATGTTTTCTCACTCCAAAATAGCATTTAGAGCCTGGCRTGTTGAATGACCTCCTTAAGGCATCTGCTCAGCAAAAGTATTGCAGATACCATGTTTCGTGCTCTGAAATCTTTACAGCATGTCTGACATCACTAATGCACACACTCCAAGGCAGAACCAGGACTTTGAACTATTTTTTTTTTTTCAATTCAAACAAGGAAAATAATTATTCTGGAAAGATATTCYTTAAAATCACAGTGAGATTACATAGCTGCCTCTGAGGATTGAGTAATAAAGCAGGGTTTGGGATGAGTCTTCAAAGAGTTAATTACTGCCTTCTGATGCTGGAAGTGAATATTAATAATATCTAATTCATTAAATGCYTCTCAAGATTTCACACAGCTGGAGGGGGGTCTCTGAAAGCTTGAGCCATGGAGCTTGGCCTGAGTAGGGGAATCATGACTGATTTTTAGGAGGMTTTGTGGCATCCCAGCCTTACAGGGCAGTGAGCAGRCAAGRKGCAAATATTRGGTCAAAAGGAACAACRAAAGTCAGRGGGTCTGCAAAGGGTTGGGAAATTTCATTAGTAAATGACATAATAGGCATGGAAATCTTTGTACATTAGTCCCTGATCTCCTCTTGTAAGCACACAGCAGTGGGTTTGGGGTGAAAGAGTGGGATGAAAGGGAAGAGAAAAAGGAGAGAAGAAAGGGAAGAAGGAGAGAAGAGAAAGGGAGAAGAAGGAAGGATGGAAGGACAGAAGGAAGGACAGAAGGAAGAAAGGAAGGCAAGCAAGAGAGATCAGAAGTCTTGGCGGCAGCATCGTTCCAGATGGGGTGTCCAGGGCTGTGGGCTGCACACATGGCCAGGCTTTGAGGGGGTACCTGTTTATAGATAGGTTTTACCCACCCTGCAGATAAATTTCTAGTTTTCTATGCAAGTTAGTAATCATGTACAATCAGTTCTTCCAGACCTTCCTGGAACTGGGTTGGAGGGCTTTGACGGTGTTGGGTGGTCTTCATCCCCTGCTRTGGTCCATGCCCACTTTTTGACCTCATTCCTGCATTCCTCCTGTGCCGTGTTGTGCTTCTCTCCAGGATCCAGAACAGGGATGTTTGTCCTGGAAAAGTGCTGCCCTACCTCCATATGTCCCCCGCTCCAGCCATATTTTGTTTCGAGGTTTTTTTTTTTCCTTTTCTCATCATTGCTTCCATTTGCACCAGCTAATGTACCACCTTTGCTGAACTGCAATCCCATCACAGCCTATGCAAGTGCAGRGAAAATCCTGAAGTCTTGTCCCTCCTGAAATCACAGCTAAAATTCTCCTGTGCTCCAGGACAGCAAAAGTTTCACCCTCAGCTTTTAAGGCACAAAGTCACATCCTGCTGTTTCCTGCCGTGGGCAGGGTGAGCTSTGTTACAGGAAGGAGTCGGGAGCAGCCGGGGAGGAGAACAACTGTTCATGGAACTGTTCATGGCAGACCTCTGATGTATTTGCTCCTGGAAGGTGTGCTGAGAGTGAGCCAAGGAGATTTGAAGAGAAACGAGGGCCTTTAAGGCAGCGAAATCCCATTTGGGGAGGCTCCGTCCTTTTCCCTACAATGCTCTCAAAGCCAGGGACAACACTATGAGCAAGAGATGTTATCTAATACCTCCAGCACTCTGAGTCTCTGGGGCTTTGTAGCAGGTGAGGCCATCAGGCTGTATTAACACACACGTCTTATTTTCCTTTTTTCCCCTCAGATTAGAATAATTTCTTTTTAAATTGCCTTCCTCTTCTTGCTCGAGGTTTTAATGCATCACATGTGGTTTCTTTGTTGGACTGAATCACTCGTCATTTCTGTGTCATGTGGTTCTTACAAAAGCTGTATTTGAAGTTGAATTCTGCGTTCACGTGCCCTAAAAGGGAAGGTTGTCCAAGGTTCATTCCTGATCCCTATTTTCATTTTCGAAACCCTTCCAATGGTGAGCTTTATTAGTGAGTGTCCTGATGCAGAAGCAATGCCAGAAGCAGCATTTCTCGGTGTGTCAGCCCTTGCCCTGAAGGTCACCTGTGTTCTGGTGACCCTGGGGACTTTCACAGGTTTTGAGCTCTAAATTAAGCCATTCACAATTGCAGGAGCTTAGTTCAGAGCTGTTTGCACTTCACCAGCTGGTGCTCACATTCAGTCCCCCTCACTCGTGGGGAGTGACTTGCT